AAAAGAATAAAAAGAAATACATATATTGTAATTGTATTAAACAATACAACATAAAGAAATATCAAATAAAATGGAATCAAAATAATAAAACAATAGTTAAAATAGATAATAAATATGATAAAGAAATTAATATAAAACATGTACATTGATGATATGAATATGGAGATAAAGGAGAATTGAGTACAAAATGTGTACTATCATATTTTGAATCATGATATAAATTTGATTATAATAAAAATAAATGTATTGAAGATGGTTGTGAGTACCAATAAACATAAGCATGGTTGTCATTGGAATAATCACACTAATTCTCTTATTGAAAAAAGATTAATTTAAAATTTTTTGTTTATGAAATAACGATGAACAAGGGATGAAATAAAGAAAAGGTAAATAAAAAACTTAACTTATTGGCAATTAGTATAATAAGTCCAATATTTTCATTTTCATATGTTATATTTGTTTAAAATGAAATAAAAAAGAATAAAACACAATAATTAAACAATGATAAAATGTAATAACATGGTGATACTTTTAATTAACCATATATTCAAAATAAATAATGTAAAATGTGTAAAAATGGTTATAATTATATTTTATTATTTCATTTTCGTTTATTTCAATTTATAGAAAATATAAACCATAAAAACATTAAAATAAATTCAAATTATCATTTTGATTAATATTCTTCATATTCTTCATTATAATTCAATACTTTTTCTATTTCATATTTTTTATAATTAGTTTTACGTTCAGAACTAGTTCCTGGATTAACAACATGTTCATTATCTTCTGTAACAATAATTCCTAAATATTCATTAATATCAATCTCACCAAATGGCAATTCTTCAAGTAATGCTAGTTTAAGTTTGAGTAAGTTGATAAAATCATTTGATAATTCTTGAACTTTTTTCATTACACTTAATTTTGTCTGACATGATTTAATTTCATCTGTTATTTTTTGTGCATCAACAATATTATTAAATGATGAATGGAGTTTATCTACTTGTTCTGGAGTAAGATTGGCAGCTTTTATTGCTATTCCAAGTGGTGTATTATTTTGGCCATTTGTTATTTTATTTTGTGTTAAATAATCGATTATATCTTTTATGTTAAATTGCTGTATTAATGAATAAATGTTAGGAAATAAAACAGCAACATCTGATACATCTTCTACTTTCTGTATTACTACTTTACCAACTTCAGTTGCTGCATCTCCCCATAACTTTTTTTGTTTGTTATTTAATTCACTTATTTCTTTGTTCAGTTCATCTATTAGTTCTTGATTTTTATCTGGGTTTAAACCCTCTGCTGTTTCTATGGTCTTTTCTGTTGTGAATTCATTGTCTGAATATTTGTTTGTAAGAATCTGTTGTTCTGCTTTTAACTTTTTTTTAATCTTTTTATAAAATTTACTAACATTTGGACTTTCAATAAATATTGTAGTACGTTTTGTGTTTTTTACAAGAATTTTACATCGACTCATTGTAATTTTAAGAATAGTTTCTTCATTTGTTAAATACAAATATTTATATTTAATTGCAAATTGATTCAATCTACTTCTAAGATTTGTCATTGCTTCTAATTCTTCATACCGTTTCTTATCACTTAAAAGTTCTTCTTCTCTTGTAAGAAAATAATTCACTCTGTTAATTACAAAACAAAACTGCGTTCTTCTCCATTCATTTAATGTTGGTTGAATATGTTTTTCACACCCACACAAAAATTTAGTTAATGTATTAAATTTTTCATCTATTTTTTTGTCATAAGACGACATTATTTCAAATAATTTTGATTCTAATTTTTGGTATAACTGATCATCACAACTTATTATATATTCACTCTTCCCATTAAAATTCTTTTCAATAAATATAGCACATATTTTACCTGATTGTATTTCGCTTCCATATTTTTCAATTAATTCTTTAGTTTTATATACATGGTATGCCAACTGACGTATTCTATTATTATCTTCTGATGATTCTGAAGATAATATTGTTGCTAAAAAATTACACCCACAACGATACCCTTGATATTGTCCATAAATTGGAATTAAAGTTGTCAATAGTCTTTTTACTGTACTTGGTTCTCCTCTCTGTGTAATTCTTCTAATGTCACTTTTAAGGATATCAGGGATAATAAACCAATGTTCTGATAGTTCATTTTCTAACCATTGATTTAAAACCTTATGTACATCACTGAAATGGTTATTGAAAAAAACAAGATACTCTTTACCATCAATTTGAAGATGTACATCAGGTTCAACAACAACTTCATTTTTTTCTTCTTGTGCATTTTGAAGTTTTACTCCTATTTTATGAAATTGAACTAAGTTTTGTGGATAATTTTCTTTGAGACGAGCTATCTCTGCACTTCTTTTCATTCTTTCTGTATTAGAGGGTTTTCTAAGCATTTGTTCTGAATTATCAAGTTTATCATTTTCTTTTTATTTTATATTATTCATACTTATCATATTTATTCTTTCTTTCTTATTTTATATTTTATACCCCCTCTTTATTATTTTACATATATTTGTAAATATATCCAATTTTTATTTTCATATCGTTATTATTATTTTATAATAGAAATAAATAAATAAACAAAAACGATTATTTTATTAATCTACATTACCCACTATCATGTTATGCGATATATTTATTAATAAATTACATGTTAAACATCATTCGATATTGTATTAATTTATCTTTTCATTTTTTTGATTTTACTGTTTAGTGATGAAAGTGAGATGAAATAAAAATATAAAACGTAATAAATAAAATAATTGAATGATAAGATAAATTATTTATTATAAACAAATGTTGTTTATAAAGGAAATTAGAATAGAAAATAAGAAAGAATAAAATAACAAAGATAAAAGTAAATTAAAGAATATTTAGAGTTTCTCATAAGTGAAAGTGTTTATTTGCCAATCTTGTTGATGAGCATGTAAAGTTCTTCCTTCTCTAATACATTCATCAATAAGTTTAAGGCAAAACGATCTTCCATGTGGACAGCTTCTTTTCTCAACTAACCCATGTTCTCCTTCAAGATTTGAACCACTGACATACCAATCTCCTATATTTATTAATGGACATAAGATTCTGTTTAAATAGAGAAAAAGAGTAAAGAAATAAAAATAAGAATGATGTTTAAACACTCTAGAACGTAATAAAATTACATAAATAAATAAATAAAATATTATGATTAAATTTATTTTTAATCGTTTTGTATCATTTTAAATGTAATTATAATTAAATATGAATACATTCCATTTAGTCAGTTTTTCTATTTTACATTGCTGTTATTCATTTTTATCATTTGAAATAAAAATATTCAAAGAAGTAACAATATAATGAATATGTAATTTTAAAATGATGATAAAAATAACATAACAAAAACAAATAAATAAAATATCAACATATTTACAACATAACATAAAAAGAATTAATAGAAAAATAATTCTAATTATTTTAATATGTTTATTTCAAAAATGATTATTTTTGTATCAACAAATAAATTCCAGAATTCTTACTTAAAAATAACATTGAATTAAAAATAATTATATTCATTTCCTATAAAACCACTTTGTTTAGATGATTGATTTAAACAAATAGAAAAATAACAAGAATAAAGAACTGACAAGCAATTGAAATATAGTCGTGAACCAAAATTAGAATATTGTGATGATAAAAACAATTACATTTTGTACTTTGAATAAAAGTAAACTAACAAATTATATAAAATAATTTTACCGAAAAAATACAATGATTTATAATTATTTTTATCCAAACATAAAACAACAAATATAATTGAACATAAAGTCCGATGGTATTTAAAGAAAAACAACCAACTGATAAAACATAAATGAGTTCATCAAAAGATAAATCAACATTAGGTGTAATTGGGGAGGTAGTTGCGGGAGTTGTTGCTGGTGTTGCTGGTGTTGTAGGTGTTGTAGTAGGTGCTAGTGCTATTGGTGCTAGTGCTAGTGGTGCTAATCGTGCTGATAATGCTGGTCGTAATAGTATTCCTGGTGCTACTGATTTTTCATGGACAACAGAAAGTTCTGATAGTGATTAAGAGACAAATAACACCGAATAATTGAAAATTAATTAAACATTATAAATGATTTATGTTTTTGAATTGATAATAGAAAAATGATAAAATAAGTTCAAAACAGATAATATCTTTTTTAAACAGTTTAAAAAAGAAATTATAAAAAACAACAAATCAGTATTTAACTGATGAAAAATATTGTTTGTTTATGGTTGTATAATTCAAACAACAAGTAACACAAATTCTGTGTTCATTTCTTCATATCCATCACTCTCATTTCTTTTTTTTTGTTATTTTCCTTTCCATGTGAAATATTTAGTGTTTTCATTAATTTGATTGAATATATTTATTTTATACAATGTTATATTATTTTTCACTGACTATTCTAATTTGTTTTATATAAATTATTTATAAAAATAAAAGGGGTGTGTTTGTTTTATTATTTTAATACGATACACATTTATTTTACAATAAATAAACAACAAACATTATTTACAAACAAATATAACCAAATTGTAATCTTTAAATGAATAATAACTAAAAAAAATAAACAATAATTTTACCAGAAGACAAACAAAATTACTTTGAATTGGAGAAATAGGAAAAGTTCACTTGGTAATTTCATTTTAAAGAAGAATGTTTTTAAAATAAGTGATAGTCCAAGTTCAGAAACAAGAGATGTTGTTAGAAAAATGGAGAAGGAGATAGAAGTGATTTATTTGTTATTGACACTCCAAGTCTTCAAGAATCAAAAGAATTTAATGAAAAATTATTGAATGATATTGTTGATATTGTTAAAGAACAAGGAGGAATCAATGGAATTATTATTGTTCTAAATTATAATACAAATATAATTTCAAATAATATTAAAATAATGATTCAAATAATGTCTAAAATCTTTCCATCACAAGACTTTTTGAAACATATCTGTATTGTATGGAATAAATGTTATTATTGTATCCCTAAAAAGAACATTGAAGAAGATAAAATTGAAAAAAAAGAGAAATTGAAAGAAGAATTAATTGAATTTATAAAACAAATAAATGGAACAAATGAAAACATTAATATACCTATGTATTTTTTAGATTCACAACCAGACGAAGAATATGATAATAGAAGATCAGAAAATGAAATAGAAAGATTAATTGAATAGAGAAGAAGATTAGAATTAATTGAAGAAAAAGAAATTAATAAATGCATACAAAGAAATTAGAATTGAAGAAAAAGAAGAAAAAGTTGAAATAATAAAAGAAACAATATAAACTATAACATATGAAATAATGATATACAGAAGAGAAATAAAATATAACGGAGAAGTTATTATTAGAGAGTGATATTTATTTAGTATTAGAATTGAAACAAAAGATAAACATAATAAAGAAAAGCCAACATATTGTGTTGTGATTTAATTGAAGAAGTGATAATAATAAATCAATAATTTGTTGTTTGAAATAAACTTGAAGAGTTAATAGCAAAATCAAATAATTTAAGTTTTACCAATGTTTAATTTAACAGAAAAACAAAAAAATTAAAATATAAAAATTATTTAATTAAGTGTTAATAGATTTTTCATCTATTCTTCCTAGTTTAGGGGAGACTAATTCCATCACTGAGCTGTTTAAAAAAGAGTAATCTTTTTGTTTAACATATATTTTAGGTTTTTCTTGGAATATGAGGAAGGCATTTCTTTGTTTCATTTCTTCCTGTTAAGGTCTTTCAAACTTCTTCTACTCAATTCTTCTTTTTAAGCCTTTGTTTATTTTCTGCCTTAATTTTAAACAATTTTATTTTCCTTTTTTCTTTATTTTATGAAAGAGAGAATAAAACAATTCATTACCACTAAATTATTATGATTAATTTTCTTTTAGTCTTAACCACACCTTAGTAGATACTTTTCTTTGGTTAATACCTCCTTATGTATTTATAATTTCAACATAACAAATATCAAATCTTATACTATTCTATGTAATATTACACAACAATAAATTACTGCACTTTTTGCACTAATGACTAATACATTTATTATCCAAAGGCAATATCATAACCAGATAATAACTGGAACACTGAAGCATTGAAAAATTAAATGAAGGGAGTACAAGAGGGGTGAAAAGGACAAAAGGAAAATAAGAAAAATAGATAATTGAAAGAAAAAATCAATTATGAGAAAATCATCTTTAGGTTTTCATTATGTTGAGAAGTGAACAAAATCAGTTTCTTATTCATGCTTTATTTCTATTGAAATACTGTTTTTTAATGCTCAACTTAATTGGTTCCTCACTTAAGTTGTTACCTGACTTTTATTTTGATTTTAATGAGTAATATAATATTTCTCATTCTTTATATTGTTGTTTTAAGGAGAGTATATCCATAACATAATGTTTATTGCCCATCTCCTTTATCTTCGACACCCCTTAAAGAACCCCTAATCCTTGATAATATCCTTATATTTAATTCACGTGCAAAAGTAACAACTATGTATGCGATTTCTTTAATAAATTATAATTCTTAATACATAATACCCCCTTAGTTAATAACAATCTTCTTAATGAATAACAATCTTTCATAATAATCACTCCTAATAAATATTAATAATAACCAGTTAGTTTTGAACAGATATTATCTCACTAAAGGCACTTCATGACCAGACGATAACTGGGAGATTCGAAGCATGTGAATGTTTTAGGGTTCCATGTGGTGTCTCTGATGTGCCATTAGGAAATACCAAAAAATAACAAATAATAGATATATCCATAATTGGATTTTATGATTATTGAGAGGTGATTGTTTCAGTTTCTTTAATATGGTCTACTTCTACAATAGAATTCATTTCTAACATATGAGAATTAGAGGGTTCATCTTCTAATATGTTGCCAGTGTTGAATATGTAGAATATTAAGTATTTCATGTTTTTAATAATGATTGTTCGTAGTGTTTTGGGTGAAGTCAATTTGTAATTTTAGTGTTTTTAATTTTATTACTGTTTCTTTATGTATCAACCCATTGATTGTTAATATTACAGGTATTATTTCTACATAAATTATTTCTCTACTTTGTATTAACTTCTCTTGTAATTATTTGTATTTATTTATTTTGTAAATATAATTTAATTGGATGTTTCTATCTTGACATATGGCGACATCAATAATACATCATTTTTTTTCTTTGACGTTTTGATAATATATATCTGGTATTCTAACATTAAACGAATGGTCACTAACCAATAAATCTTTATTGTAAGTTATAACCATTTCATTATTATTAATACATTTATGTTGTGCATTAAAATCTATTTCATCAAATTCATTAAAATGAGTAAATAATATATGTTTATATATTTGTTTACATACATAATCGTGT